CCCCCCTCCTACCCCCCCCCACCCCCCCCCCCCCATTTTGTTTCCTTTGGTTCAGATCAAGGGAGGACACTCCCCATTTTTCCCCAAACTGTGTGAAGCACAGTTAGAGCCCCAGCAGCGCTCTGGGGCACAGCCAGCAAGAGTTGGATGGAATTACATATCCACACCATGAGTCTGTAGGAACCAGAAATGTCATCAGGAAATGAGACACTCATCCAAATGAACATGCTATTCCCTGACTGCTGCCAGCTAGCGAGTGAACAGAGTAGGAGTTCAGCCTGGCCTTTTTATGCTGCAGTAGGAACCAACTTCATTATTACACTGCTCACGGGCTTCGCTTAGGGCGCCCTAATGACAGTGCTAACGAATCAGTATAACACAGGTATGGAAAAACTTACACGGATGAATGTGGCATACTTCAGTAATATATTTGTCTATTTACACAGCAACCTTTAGGCATGTAAAGATTCTCCCAACATGCCAAGGAAGCACTCTGTGTACAAAGACGTGCGTGTGTGGAACCTATGTGTAAAGCTAGGGATCCCAGGTACTCAGAGGCTGTTTGGAAGACCCCACTTACAGCTGCCCGTTTTTCTCCGTATAGAAGCGCACTGACTTTATGGTGGCGACGACAACAATCATACAAAGGGTGACAGGCACAAAGAGCATGATTACATGCTTTGCTCCATATTTCAGAGTCAGTTCCTCCTCTTCATTTTCCAAGGTGCTTTCTCTCACTGGAACACCCGAGTCAGACACATCCCCATCAGCAACATTGTTAGGGGTACGGCTGCTCCCTGGTCGCCTCTTCTGAAAAGAAATATTAGCAAATATATAGGATACTTCTTTTCTTTGTGTTCAAAGCTTCATTTCATCACATTTCAACTTGTTCCTAATAGGAAGGTACCAACTGTATGATACAATTAGCTATTCCATTACAAAAAGGCTGCAATGGAATTTTTAAACCAAAGCCATTACTAAAGGCTTCTTCAAGTGCAAATATATAGATGGACACAAGAAAGGCAAGGTGCACAGAACCAAGGCACAAGAAATATCATCCAAGGTGGTGCAAGCTTGATCAGTTCCTCCTCCCACAGCAATGCTGTGCTTGCTTTACCCTGCTGCTTTGCTGGCAACAGAACTAGATTCTGTTCTAACATTTGCTGCATTTGACCAGAGCAGACAAAGGGGTTCTGGCAAAACAAGAAGGCCAAAAAGGATATCCTGCAAGAGTCATATGTGCATCAGGTCCTGATTAAAAGCCTGTATCGTTACCAAAAGGAAGGAAAAGGGAGGAGTATATATGTAGATAAAACGAGGGAAAAAGTCACAGTGGAGGAAATAGGAATAGGCACTGCTGCTGCTGGCTGAGAGAGTGACACCAGAGAAACAACACTGATCAAAGCCAATCCTAGAACCCAGTCTGCTGGGGGTGATGGAGGGGTAGCAGGACTATGTCTATCATCATACCCCATTTCTTTCCTCCCCAGGGAGGGGAGAAATACCTACCCTGTGTGGCTGCGCTTCCCCTGCTTCTGAGGCTTGCAGGCCGTCCTGGTAGGAGGGTACTGGAGGGCTCTCTGCAGACATCAGGGATGTTCTCTCATTGCAGGGCTCCTCCTCGCTGTCCGAGTTGTTCATGAACGTGATCATCGTCACTTTCCCAGGGAGCACTCAGGAGGGGCACAGCCAAGCACTACTCGGTGCTGAAGGGACAGAAGGAATGAGAAACAGTGAACACCGCTGTGCAAAAAACTGGAAGGCTGAAGAGGAAACACAATTTCAGCAGGGAGTCTACAGCATGCTGTGTAACTCCACCTCCTTCTAACAGCTGATTTAGCCTGCTGTCACTCCAGCATCCCTGACAATCTGTTCAGTTAAAGTCATGGTGACTTTTGTGGTCAGGGAGAACAGCAAAACACAGCACTGAAGCAATTTAATACTTTTTCTTTGCTACAGCTTTCACAGTTGCTGCCTCTATTTTCCTTCTCCCATTAGTACACCTTGACTTTCACAAAGGAGGTTTCTCAGTGCTTAGTGTTTGTTGTGCATGAGCCAAACAAAGCTTCACCTCAAACGCTGGCTGCCTACAAGAAAGCTGAGAGCTCAGCTCTTACACAACACTCCCATAGGCATCGGCAGGTAGCAAAAGTTTCTTAGTGACCCGAAGCCTTGGCTTTACATAAGCCACTAATCAGGAGTTACATGCTGTCTTCCCTGTTACGACTGTTTATTAACCAGATGAATTTCATAAGCAGTTCTTCTCTTTGCCTGTGGACAAGGAGAGGTTTGTGTTGAAAGGGAAAGACCCATCTCCTTAAGCAAGCCACTTTTTTTTTTTTCTCCTTATGTTGCCTTGTGATTAAAAGCAAAATCACTTGGACAGGCAACAACTTGAAGTATAAAAGTGGGGGCTAGCAATGTTTGGCCTCTTTCCACCTACTGCTGTGCAGAAAAGCAAGCAAAACAGTGCAGAGAGGAAAGGAACAGCCCTTCTTTCGAGACACCAGAGAGAAGAGGTGCACTGCCCTGGACACTGGAAAACAACCTTAAAGCCAGGATTTCACAAAGCTCTAAAGGCAGGTGGTAGGGAAATTTGGTTTAGCCTTTATTAAGTCATCTTACCAAAGCAAATGGAGTAAGATAATTCAGTCACCTTTTGATTCTCAGACATCTGTCAATAAGCAAAACCAGACCTCTAATGCACTGTAAAGCTGTAATATCTATAAGAACACCTCCTCTCCTCTGCATGATTTTACCCAAGTATCTTGTGAGAAAAAGCCTGTGTGTTTCAGGAAATACATCCAACTCAGAAGAGGAAGCTGAAAAAGCCATGTGACTTGGACACATTCATTTAAATCTGAATCATGCATTCGCAGTCCAACACTGTGCTGCCTGCCAGCCAGCCTGAGAGGTCAGAGCGGATACTTTGAAGATCTGTGAGATATTATTGCTTCTCACTAAATAAACTGAAATTCACTTTGGTGGAAGGAAAGAGAGAGGAGTGGGAGATTCCCCTTTCTTTCGCAACCTCCTCAACACATCTGGCACCTTCAAGAAATTTTAGAATGTCAACTCAGTCTGCCCAGGTGAAACTTTTCAGCCATCTGCTCCTCCCCTGCTTTCTCTTCAAGCTTTTTCATATCATTTTGTTCCTCTTTTAGTGATAAAAGTGGTACAGTTAGGAGAAACAAATACAGGGGCAGCCCTCAAGCCAGGCCTGACAGCTTCACAGTAATACCGTGTTCTTACTGAGTGAGCTGCCTAACACCTGCATTTCTGTGCTTATTTCTTACAGAGCCAAAAATCTTCACTCCGGGTGCTTAACACACTCTTCTGACCGAGCACGAGGGCTCACAATTTACAGCTGAAAGCCTAGATCCTGGTTCAGTTGTAGGATTTAGGCCTTTAAAGAAGTCGGGTACATAAAGTCATTCAATCATGACATACTTCTGGACCTGTGAACAGGTTAAGTTATGCATGCCATGGGATCTAACCCATGGAATCTAAATAACTCTCAAAACCTTCTGCCCACGTCAGAGACCAGGGGAGAAATCAAGATTTACTCTCTCATAGTTTGGGACCAATAATTAGGTTTTAACAACCCAATAAAAACATTATTAAACACTGAGAGAAAAAAAGAAGTGCCACACGATTTTTGCTATATGAACAGAGCAATTCTGCAGAGGATTTATAAGGGACAGCCAATTAGCCTACTTTCAACACCCTACTTGTGCCCACTGGAGGAGTGAAACTAATAGCAAAACCACAGTACTAATTACTAACCTGCACGATTACATGGAAAAAAATCTCCTGTTGTTACACAGCTGGTTTTAAGCCGGACATTGTCTCCTGCCAAAGGGGATGTCCCACCACCCTCAGCATCTCTGGTGCCAACACCAGGTCATCAACTGTCTAGCTCTTTGAAAAGACAATGGGCACTTGTTTTCCTTGGCTTTCAGAGCCAGGTTCCAGCAGGAACAGCTCCCCAGCTGGTTAGGCAAGCAGCCCCAGTGCCCGCAGGATGGAAAGGCAGAGCTGGGCCATACCCCCTTCCAGTAAGGCTGAGCCTTACAGTGGCAGGCCCTCTGCTCACTCCCAGACAAGCAGCCCACCTTCACCTCAGGTCTGCAACACCTATGGCAGCACGGCAAGAGTATTTGACATACAGTTTGTAGGTCCCTGCCCCACCACAGACCCAGCAGGGAGTTTGTCTAATGCCACTATTTATTCATCAGAGCTGCACTTTGAACGGGCACCAAGGCTGTGCTGGCTGCTGGAGAGAGCTTTGGTTTAAGTAGTCTGTCCTTCAGAGGAGGAAGGACCAGCCTGGTCACCCTCACCCACATATCCAGCACAACAGCACCCTCTGGGCTGAGAAGAGCGAAAGACGAGAAAGCCTCTGCCCTGGGGGGCTTGCCTGCCAAATGGAAAAGGAGCCACAAAGCACCAGGCAACCAAGAAAGGGGTGTTGTAAAGCCACACTGTTTTCGGATATCATTTTACCAGTTAAACTAAGGGAAGGGGCCTTGCAGAGATGATTTCTGCCTCCCAAGGACACTGGATACCCTATAACGCAAAGCACGGGGACCATCTTTCTTACAACACATGCCAGACCATCATCAAACTGACCTAGTGTGTTGCAGGGTATCAGGCAAGGTTTTCCTCTTTTCCTCTCTGGATAGACTCAAACTATTAGGTCCCATTCAAAAATCATACAATGTTTAAGTGCCAAAAGACCAAACTCTCAAAACCATAAAGCAAAAATGAAAGGGGACAAAGACTAGGTCAGTATTAAGTACTTCTCGTAATGGAGCAGCTGAAGTGGGAATACAACGACTTCTGCTTTAGAGCAGTTTTGTGAAGCCTGCAGGAGAGCAGGAGTCACCACTTCTCTCTTTCCAGATGTCCTTCACGCAAAGGACCTCTTTCCTCAACTGCAATAAATTAGCTTTATGGATTTTGATGAAATTAAGCCGACTCACACTAACATTAGGATCTAGCCTCAGTTTGCCTTTTAATTTCATGCTGCAACATCACTGTGCTGCACACAAACCTAAATCCTTTGCTTTGCATTTCATCCATCACAAATAATACCAGTACAGTACAGCTGCTATAGGCTGACAGAATATTTAATAAGCCACTTGAGAGTTAAAACTCCTCTTATACATATTGTTCTCTTTGATGGCAATTAGCTGAAGAGAATCAGTCTTCCCTTGCTATATTTAGACCAAGAGAAAGCTTTGGGCTCACACTGACAGCCTGATGTTCTCCTAAGTTTCAGCTGTAACAATTTTTGCTGTTGGTAAATATGAAGACAAGGAAAAAAAAAAACTTTAAGAAATTCTAAGTGGTGGAGCCAAAAAGGTTTCCAGGTTCTTGCCCATAAGGCCAAAATGTGCATGCTGCTGAAATGACAGGGGACTTGGAACACACCGTCTCAATGGTCAAAAGAGGACTTGCCAACACCCTTCACTTTCAGCCCCAGAACACAAAATTAACACAACATGAGACATTAGGGGAAGCTGTAGAGATTTGTAGCCCTCTTTCTCCCTTTCAGGGCCTGTCACCATAGCTGAGCGAGCACTGCTTTCCTTCGTCCCACAACAGAGGCACAACACGCCGCCCCACAGGGTTATTTTGCCGGCAGAGCTGAAACCAGGCCCTCCCCATCAGAAGGATTATTTGGCCAGCGTTAAGCCCAAATACTCCAGCTTCTCATCACAGCATAAAGGTGCCACAGCCCTGCAGACCTACTTACACCGGTAAAACCTCAAAGCCCGGGTCAGGCTTCACGCGCCGGAGCAGCTGCTCGCCCTGGTCCTACTGCAGCCGGGGGCACCCGAGCCAGCGGGTCACCGGTGTCCGTGTCCGTCCAAGCGCATGGCCACGCACGCAGCGGCTGGCGGAGAGACAGACAACAGGCACTTTTTAAAATAATAAAAAAAATACACCACAGCAAGAAACCC